AATACTGAGGACAAAATTACACTTTTCCAATAGAAACATTTAAAATTGTTATTGTTATTTTATTAGTATCATTATGTAAATGAAAAACAAATAAGATTTTCTGAGAGATAAAATGTCAGTATGTTCTCATTATTTATTCATCTTCAATTAATGAACAGTCGTGAACATTTTGTAAATATTTCAGCTTACTCATGTTTTAGATTACACATTACATTGTTCATTAAAACTTTTTTCCATAGAAAACTAGTAATATTGTTATCCATTATGATGAGTTTCCTTTCCAAAACAATTTATTTAAAAAATTACTTTTTCAGCTAAGTCTGGTTTCATGAAAGATTTGAACTTTGGTATCTACTGATGACACAATTTCATGCTAAATATTATAACATCTTAGTGAATTATCAATGCAAAGTCTGTAATTTCAGTCATCACAAAATACAGAGTAAAAATAATCTGCTTTCTTTATAAAATAGTATACATAACTTGCTAATCAAAATTAATTATATCTTTGGACTGAAGATGAGAGATGATTTCATCCACTGCAACAAATCAAACCACATTTTCCAAAATCAGCTCTTTGTTCTTCATTCTGCAAGTTATTTATGGGGTCTTTTTCAACCACAGAATTTAAAAAAGAAACTAAGGTATTTAAAATAGGAAACGTATCACAAGAACTGTAGCCATGAATAATGGATACAATTCAAAATTAATATATACATAAAATCAAAATAAAGTAATTTTTATTGGAACAAATTTTCCCACCAATCCTTCTGATTACAATACATATTTCTCTCACATTCAATACATTGCAATGTACTAATTTATTGCATTGCTTTGTACCAATGTATTAGTAAAATATAACATTATTTTGAACAACTCAAAACGTTGGAACAATTCTGTATCAGCTACTGAACTAAAAACTACATGAATTATTATCCAGAACTAAAGATCATATAAACATTTATGAAAACATTTATGAAGTATATTTATTTGCATCCATGCCAAACTGGCAGGAAAATTATTCAAAAACGTTTATATAAATGCATGAAAAATAAATTCCTTATTCAACACAATCACTTTTCTTTATCCCAAACCAAGAAAGAATTATATATCTATCTATAAGGAGAGTGGAATATTCAGCCAAATCTGAATTGTATTGACAATTTCGAATACACTCCAGGATTTAGGAAAACACTGACGAAAAAATCAAGAAAAATAGTACTTCACCTGAACTACACTTAAAGTAGTTGTAATGCATGTTGTTACTTATTTTTATAATAAATTAAGGTATTTCTGACAAGGTAATGCCACAATGTGATATGTCGAAATTTGCCCTTATATTTTTTCATTGAATTTACATGCCATTCTGATATAACGATGTAAATTTTGGCTGCCGATACATACTGCCAATTGCTTTAAAAACTTGCGAACATTTTCGTACTATTTTTCATTTCTACAGAGAACTTGGACAGCCTTCTCCAGCCGAGCTGCGAGCGCGGGGGTGCCGAGATTGGCGTTATAGGGAGTTGCTACAAGGTCAAATGACATTCGGTGGGAACAGGCCATTCCCAGTACACTCAATGTTTTTCTTATTTTACAAGTCCATTTTATTTGAGATATTTTATTTCTGTACCAATGAAAATGTGTTAATTTTTTCATTATGAATATCGTCAATATGCATAATTATTAAATACTGAAAACGTATACCATATAATAAATGTACCACTTTATATTTAAATTATGTACACAAGACATTTAAGAGTTGTTTTGTGAATCAAATTGACATGGCATGACCTCATTTTGGTTTTTTGTTCGCGAAAATTACCGTTCTTTAATTTGTGCTTAGTTGTGTCGATAAATCGACTTTTTCATTTGAAAATTCCAAAAGACTCACAACTTCACCACATTTTTCCATTTGCGTGTAATTACACAACTGACATGTTTCGCAGTAGAGACAAGAGCTCTCAAATTCTTGAAGAAAGAGCTCCAGGGGAGGTAGCTCATGTTGGATGGAAGATGAGCGGTTGCGGCAAGGTTTATCACGATGATATGCATTTCTTACAAAAATGAACAACAGATGAAACTAAAATTCGGAAAAAAAACTTGTATTGGTAGTTTAGACTATGTATAGTTAATATTACTGTTACTAGTTTTATTATTTTAGCTGCTAGGAAGGGCAGCTGCCTCCCCGCCTGCCCCTCGCAGGAAACGACCTTGGAAGCAGGGTCCGCCGCTTACGGCGAGCAGTGGTGTTGAATCATAAGCGAGCGCGCTGGGTTACACCTTTGCAGGGTTGGTCATTTTTACATCGATGAAAGCATAGGGCAAATTTGCATATTCAGTATGTATTTAATTGACTTGCACTGTGTATCGACATCCAAAAGTTGGATAGTGAGATTAAAACGGAATGTGCTTCCGATGAAAAGAAGGATTAGGACAGGTTTCGACATGCCACATCGCGGCATGCTGTGTGTCCCAAGGTACAAGTAACAATGAATGAATTACTATAAATCCAGCAACTCAATTGAATTTGTTTATTCACATAATACTAATTATGAAATTTCTCATTAAATTCACAATTATTCATAGCCTATGCAAATAAAAAAATAGTTAAGAATCACTAAATGTAAATAAGCTATTTATTAATTAATATATCCATTAAATAATCCAAGAATCTGGTGTTTATAGCAATTCTTTGCTTTTCTCTCTTTCATATTGAACTTAATACTTAGAAGTTGTCTATTGTTCCATTATATTGCTATCATATATTAATGTAACAATAATTGTTTAAATTTCGTGTACCTTCTGTAATACTATGTAATACTATGTAATACTATGTAATACAATGTAATACAATGTAATACTATGTAATACTATGTAATACTATGTAATACTATGTAATACTATGTAATTCTATGTAATACTATGTAATACTATGTAATACTTTGTAATACTTTGTAATACTTTGAGAGAGTGAGAGAGAGAGAGAGAGAGAGAGAGAGAGAAAGAGCGAGAAAGTGCGAGAATGCGAGAAAGAGCGAGAAAGAGCGAGAAAGAGCGAGAAAGTGCGAGAAAGCGAGAAAGAGCGAGAAAGAGCGAGAGAGAGCGAGAGAGAGCGTGAGCGAGAGAGAGAGAGAGAGAGAGAGAGAGAGAGAGAGCCGACGAGTGTGTAAAATAAACGAGCCAGACAGACTGTTCTCGGGCTTCTACGACGGAAGGAGGCGGAAGTAAAGGTGATGTTCCGATGGAGTCAAAGTTGAAGTACGAATTTTTATAATTGTCTTTGATAGCATTTGGGAGCATATAATATTTGATTTAAAAGTTAGTGTCATTGAGAATAAGTAAATAGTATGAATATATTTGGCCATGCGTGCAAGGGGAAGGATTTAGTAAATAATGTATTAGAAGTGTGACAGAATGGCACAAACTGTCCTGTATTAGTTTTCTATTTCCTTTTGTCTCGGCTAGCTAGTCAGCCTTGTCACATACTCTTGCCAGCTGCCTTTTATAGCCACCCAAAGTACTTTTTTTGATATTTTCCTATTTTTTTTGCTTTCCTAATTGAAGAGCTGAATTATTATTTGAAGATTATCAAAGAACAGTAAAACATCGTCATAAATGGCAATATTCTTTCAAAAATGTGGAGCTGTTTTTTTTAAAAACTGGCGTTTAAGCGCTACTGTAAATTCGAAATTTGAAGCTCTTTTTCACAGAAAATTTTTGAGTTCTCGATAAACTTCATCTGACGTCATTTCAAGCACTTCCAATCACAAATATAATAGTGGTTAGAAATTGCTGGAAATTAGCATATTAATGGAGTAAGAGATCTTTCAAAATATTATATTAGTATAATTTAAAAAAAAGTAAATACAGCAAAAAGAATTCTATGTAATTCTTAAGAGTACAATCTGTCGGAAACGTTTAAAGAAAAAAATTAGAGGCGTTTTAGAAAAAACAGTGTTTGAGGGCTTCTGAATATGCAGGATTTTGAGCTAATTTTCACGGAAAGCTGTTGAGTTTTCGGGAAACTTTATCTCACATTATTTAAAGCACATGTACTCATAAATATATTAATACAAATAAATTGTAGGAAGTCTTAAAAAATGTTTGAAATTTTCAGAAATTCAGAGTTAACGAAAATCGGATTTATGCCACATTTATAAGTGCATTTTGCTTTATTCTAAAAAAAATTAAAAGAAGAAAATGGAGCACAAGTACAAACGTCACTAAAGACCACAGCAGTTGCCGCGCCCGCCAACATCAACCAATCAACCATCCGGTTTCCACACCGTCTAGGACTTGCGCCAGCTTCCCAGGGCTCAACCCGCGACCCATCAGATTGGAGTAGGCACAAACAGCTTATCCACTTCGCTTCCCAGATCAAGCGTAAAAACCTCTATAGCAAAACGTCACTAATTACCAGAGCAGTTGCCTGATAGGCGCCCAACAAACATCAACTAAAACTCAAGCCCCGTTCCACCGTCTAGTCTTGCCCAGGACACGCAATCCGCGACCAGATTAGAACTGAGAAGCAAACGCTCATCTCACGCAATTAAAAGTGATCATCTACACAAACTCACTAATGACCAGAGCCAGTTGCCAAGTGCCCACAAACATCCACAATCAACTCTATTCTCGTTTCACCGTCCTAGTCTTGCCCAGGCACACGAACCCGCGACCGATTAGACTGAGAAGCAACAACCTCTATCCACGCATTAAAACATTCACTACAACAGACCTCAGTAATGACCAGAGCAGTTGCCGCGCCCACAAACATCAACCAATCAACCATCCGGTTCCACCGCCCTAGTCTTGCGCCAGGCTTGCCCACGACTCGAACCCGCGATCCATTAGACTGAGAAGGCACACGCTCTATCCACGCGATCAAACGTTCACTACACAAACGTTAGTAATGACCACAGCAGTTGCCGTGCCCGTCCACCGTGCTAGACTTGCGCCAGGCCGCAGTCGCGCAGCTTGACGTAGCACCGCCCCAGCACCCGGGCGACGCGCGGGCGCACCGCGGGCGGGCGGCGCGCCACCTCCGCCGCCAGGGCGGCCGTCGCCGCCGCCAGCCCGCACGCCAGCGCCACGAAGGCGTCAGCGAAGTGGCGCATGGACAGCTCGACGGGCCCCGCCGGCGGCGAGTAGAAGGCCGTGGCTTGGCGGTGGAAGCGCAGCAGCGCTCTGTTCGCCCTGTCGGCCAGCAAGCGCACCACCCCGCCGTCCACCAGGCGCTGCACCAGCGAGCTGTAGCGGTCCGCCAGCGGCCACCCGCGCTTCGCCACGAACGACCTGCGCCCAAAGCACGTTCTTCACACCTGCAGCACTTTTATTCACTCGTTTCTTTATTTACTTACTTATTTCTTTTACTCGTTTCTTTATTTACGTACTCGTTTCTTTATTTACGTACTCGTTTCTTTATTTGCGTACTCGTTTCTTTATTTATGTACTCGTTTCTTTATTTACGTACTTGTTTCCTTATTTATGTACTTGTTTCTTTATTTACCTACATGTTTCCTTATTTACTTACTCATTTCTATACTTACTTGTTTCTTTATTTACTAGTTTATTTACTTATTTATTTAGCTACTTATTTCCCTATTTCTTTTTTTTATTTACGTCGTAAACACATACTTAGCTCCTAAGCAACCAACCACCTGAACAAACGCTTTAACGGTGTGTCTTAAGGGTAAAATCTAAACCCAAAATTCCGCTGAATAATATCCACATTGCATAGATAAAGTCAAACATTATGACATTATAATCAGTTTCGCATTGAAGCACTTTACCCCCCTCCAGTGTGGTATTGTACTTCATTACTACACTAGGATGATAAAGTAATTGCGTACTTAGCCACTCTTCTTTTCAAAACATTTTGGACTTCGCCTTGAATCCATCATTTTCCTCTTTAAAACGCTGATAACTTAGTAAACTTACTGATATCAATATAATCATTACATGATATTGTACTGTTTAACGTAGAGTAGTTGGATTCTACTCTGACTTGCCAGAAAAGTAATAAATTTTTTTTCGATATGGACGGAACTTTTTTACACCAATATTTAAAAATTAAATACTCACGCTCATATTTCTTTCTTGATTCCTTGGATAACAATGGTTCTATAGCAGCATTTTCCATCTATTTCCAAATCAGAACTACAATCACTCATGACGAAACGTATACACCAAGTGCGCTTCAATTGTTCACCTTGTAGAGAACACTGTCAGAACTTTTAGAAAAAAAAAAGATTGTGAATACTAAATGAAGGCATAGGACGAAATTTCACATTTAATTAACACATTTTTACGAAGTAGATAAAACGTTGTACGATATTCGTGTCGTAACATCACCACCTAACGACCTCGTTTGGCAATTCTCCAATCTCATATTGTTATCAGATGCTTTAAGACACTTATATCGTAAAGAACGATTTATGGACGCTGGAGCTTTTTAAAGGACATTTCTATGGACTCTCTCTTATGAGAAATTCGTTGTTTAGATGTCACATTACTAAGCACCTAAGCGCGTGTGTATCGACGTAAATAAAAATATAAATAACAGCGCGAGTAACGTACTTGTAGGCGGGGGCCCAGACTCGTTGGCGCGCTGTGTGCAAGTGCACTTCTGCGAAAACCAGGAATCGAAGTCGCTCTCTTTCGAGAGATGTCTCTGAGTCCAAGATTGCTCCGTATCCACTTGAGATCTCCTTCCACTGGTTCACATACCGCTCCACCTAGTGAAACATTAAAAACGATATTTAAAGGGTAATTTGAGTTCACACACCCCGGGTTTTAAACAAAGCATATAATTTAGTTGATGACAATAATTGAGCAGTTCTAATGGTAAATGATAGGGGGTGGCACAGAAAAAAGGGAAACTTTGAGATCTTTAGAAAAAAATAAAAGAAACTTACAAAGCTTTATTTTATGCTGGATATAAGTTCTGTAGGAGTTGATATTTTATTGAGCATCGCTTTTTAAAAATTATGTCAGTTAAGTGCAGTCCATTTCGTCGTACACATTCAGAAAGTATATTTCAGTACACACTCAGTAAGATTTGCACAGCCCGGCGAAAAAGTGTTCAATACAGAATCATTAGGTTTCAGCTCTTCAGCAATCCGAAGCTTATAAGGATGAAATTTACGGTCGTATAGTATTTGTTGTAGGCTCCGATGTCCGAGTATTAATGACGAGGCAAATTTTCGCACCGAATGACTTTGTATCCTCACCATTGCAGCCTGCACAGCATCAACTTTTTCTGGGAAACGTACAGATATAACACGTTCACATGGGGTTTTTGTCAAAGCCGAACCTGACTCTTCAAAGTTGCAAACCCAGGTTTTGGTTGAGTTTGAAGAAGGAACTTTAGTACGAGACGGGGTCTCATAGTAACACGTCACACGTCTTCCCATAGTACGACACACTCTGTTTCTATTTTTGACGTAAAATAAATAAAATAAACAAATGGTGCCAAAATTAGTTTGTGCAGCTGGTATCGTGTCGGAACTACGCTCTCATGGTGATTACACGCTTCACACCTCTCCACTGCTTAGAGCTCGTTAAATCTCGATGGCACTATCGATAGTATTCCATAGTACAGTATTACTCGCGCAACGTTTCTTGAACAATGACCTTGCTTCCCTCTCTCTGATACAATAAACAGTTGAAGACAAAAGCTCGCAGCGTGCACTGATGACAACATTCCAAACATCTTCACTGGCGCGAAATAGAAACTATTTTCCGTTGAAGATGAGAAGTCTCACCGTGATTTTCTCCAAAAAATGTAAATAAATGACCAAAACAGGTGAAGATTCATCACAGGAAATACCTCGAACTCCTGAGAGAATTAGAACGCAAATTATTGAGAAAGTTGCGAAGGCATGACTGATTCTCCAGAGACTGGCATTGCTTCATAAAATCTAGTGGCCGATTTCGAAACTAATACCCTCACTCTACCCGCATTTCTTCAATCCATCGTTCAAGAAAACTTGCGGGAATAATACTATCAAAACTATCGATACTTCATAAAACTATCGAATACTATCGGAATCAATTTTTATTAAAATGTATACATTTAGATAGTTCATTTTTAAGTACCAATACTCTGGCCACATAATTCATCTTCTATTTATCTCCCATTAAATGTAAATATAATGAGACTGGTTCAAACGTCCGTTCTACTTCGTGTTTTCTTAATAAGAGAAAGAAAACCAAAATTCACTTACATGATGAGAATGAATGAGCGGCAATTGTTTAAAGTGAATACATCAATACCCTTTATGCACGGAAACGTGTATTCAAACTAGTATAAGTTGCCAGCGTTTAATTTATTGAAGTTGTATAGTGATATTTGCCAAGGTGGGAGGCAGTACCGAATTGCCGGAAATTTCACATGTATAACTTCGTTTTAAGAGATGTACTACCATGTTCATGGGAAAAACGTAGATCTTTGACCTCCTCGACACGTCGTAGAAACGATGCAACATTTAGTCTATGCCTCCAAATTACAAAACGTTGTCTAGATAAATACGTGCAGCTTGTAAATCACACATTTAGAATTACTCCTGATACTTACTTGTCTTAAACCTGCACGTTCGTTTCGTTAATTTCTTTCTTACCAACCCTACAACCCTTTTTGGTTAAGACGATTTCCTTAGCAAACCTAAACGATAATGAATACACCACATATTTTATTTTTGTTGCTTGTAGCTTGTGTGTATCACAAATTAATTTATTTTATTTTGAAGATTTCAAACATTTTTCAGGAAAAAGAATATCCATACGTACATTTGAGGAGAAAGAGACTGCTTTTCAACAACGATTTATGAGTATTTTTTGTTTAACAGAGAGTCCAATTCTCATGTAATTATTCGAGTTATCAAGAGACACAGCACATTATCAATGAACATGAAATGTCTGCTGTACACGATCAGACTGTTTATAAAAAGATTTTTTAATCAAATATTTTATAAAACAACTGTGTGATACATGGTAAAATTATAGTAAAATTATTTGACGCGTTCCTGTGGTCAATACTCTGTCCTAACATTTCTGTTTCGTCCTGTCGTCTTACGATCGATTAAATAGAACTAGTGGTGCTAAAAGAGCACGTATTTTATTGCCCGTATTTTCACGCAAAATTACGCAAAAAGTACCCAAATTTTCGGTATCTTTTTGTAAAGTGTCCCTCAAAATTAAAATATTTGTTTCAAATTCAAGAGGCCGCGACATTAGTCAGATGGAATGGGGAATATTAAGTTTGGAAAAATTCGTCTGAACGATTTAGCGTTATTCACAGACAGATGGACACACGTTTTGCCATCAATCGATTATTCGGCATCAAGGACTCACAAAACACGAATTCTGACTACACCACACGTTAAATATTTTTTTTCTAAATTTAGCATCTGGATTTATTCACTGGTAGCTTTGCATAACTTTCTCTCTACCGCGATAGCGGCAGCAAGAAAATAATATATGTATTTTTCAAACTTCATTTGTTTATGAATTTTTCAAATGGTAGTCGAAGTGTAAAACAGATATTGTCATATTATGATATTACATAACAATTAACAATATCGTGAGAAAGAACGTGCTGTTGTGGCACCACTATTTTAAAAAGTAACTGTGCAGTAATTATTGACGTATACAACAGGTATAACTGTTTTCTCTGCTTTCAGAAATTTTATTACATCAAGCATACTGCTTCTTACATGTATTGCAATGACACGTATCTATTATTCATTTATTTTTATATTTTGTAAAACAATGAATCGTATTTATAAATGTTACCACTTGTTCATAATTATCATTACTTCAAATATTATTTAAACTAGTTACCTTGTCAAACAGCTGCAAAAAAACTTCGTCTCCAGACTGTAAGAGTACTTTCTCGTCAAACGCATCTATTGTAGGGTACACCTTTTGCACACTGTCAAGGACTTCTTGCAGAGTGTCCATCTGCGAACACACCATTGCTGCATAATTTGTGTGTAGACGAAATACATACTTTGGGTGAAGACGAACAATGATGAAATGTAGAAAAATGGGTCACATTTTGAAAAGCAGAGCAAAAAAAATAAGTATACTGTATGCGAGAACAGTTAACACGTACTAACAGTCTGACAGATTAGCATATCAACGAAAAGCAAAAAGTATTAAAGATGGAAATGTAACATGTTAAATCTAGGCCCAGTATTACGATAAAGCAAACATTAAGACAGGAGTTTTCGAAATTCACCTCCTGAAGAGGTGCAATATATTTTTACTGGTCGTTTGCGGTGAATAAGCAGCAATGCACGTAAAGTTTACTGCTATCCGAAGCAAGGTAGCTAGCTTGAATTATTCATCCTCTGCCTCATGGAGAATTGTAACGACCGGCTGCTCTGATCAGTAGCTTTTAGTAGTGGTAGTGGCTGCTCTGATCGGCTGCTCTGATCAGTAGTGGTTTCTCCGATCACTACCTGGTGAATACCGGAGTAATCCATGTATTTCGTGAAAAAACACAAGAAAACCAATATAATAATTTTCTATCGCACAAATTTCTGGGTGACTACAATCCCTAGCGTACATTAGGCTACGCTGCGCATATGCACTATCTCCCTTCACGTGTATCTAGCTCGTGCTTTAACAGTGATCAAGGGCTCGGATATCTCGAGCAAACTTAAACGCCCCCACAGCCCATTTCTCTACAATCGCAAAGCATGCTAACCCAGTCTCTGAGATTAAGGGGCAAAATGGGTTGTCTTGACTAGCGCATCGCAGTATGCCTTATCTGACAATTCTACATTATTGATGATTTTAGAGAATTACATTTCCATTTCACAAACAGAAAAATTGATAACATAGAACTGATTTAAATGGGTGAACATTCGCAGCATACTTAAACATTTCCTCCTCCAAGTGTCACTAGTTGTTATTAAAAAACTATTCATTTTTTAAAAAAGGGCATAAAATTATTTAAAGATAATAAGTATAAAGCACAATGCAAATGTTTGCCTAGAAATAATTTTTTCAAACCAATTTTTGAGTGCTTATTAGGGCTTAGCCATTCGGAAAATCCACATAGTTTATTAGACAAAATATGATTAAAATTGTCTTGAGAGCGTATTTTCGGCGTTTCCTTCTCGGACATCCTCTACGTTTACAAATTTTATTAATATCTCTAATGTTTAGAAACTTACTTTATCTTTCTACTTAAATCCTAAAAGTTTTTGCACAAGAAATTAGTTTGATCTGTCTTACTTCCCAAATTTCTTGATGTTTGCTTTAAATTAAAAATCGTAGGCTCCAGTTGTCTTCTCGCTTACTATTCTTAACCGGTTTTATAGTATAAAGACTATAGTTTATTAAAGTCGTAAATTTATATAATGAGCACGTATGTGACGTCATTTATTCAATTCGTCGTTTAGTTATACCAAGAGGTTGGAGGTCTTAGTCTCCCACTTCTAGTCTGTGTAAATACGAGTCAGAAATAGCGAAACGATGATAGCGAAACATTTTAATTCGAAGATCGTTGTTTTTCAAATGCAACTATTAGTGATGTTCACAACTCAGTATCCATCAGGAGTCTGCGTTTTTAATTAAAACAAATAGCAGGAAATGAACAGAACATGGTAAATAACAAATCATTACAATTTCATTTCCAGAAACAGGTTCAACCCTGTTGTAGCAATGAATAATGACTATATTGTTCCAGAATTAATTCACCTCTCTCACTCCATTAGTCTTTAAGAATAAATACTGGACAATGTGAAACAATTTTATTGTTTCTCCTTTCATTTTACATATAGACAATAAGTTGATTTTTTTAACTTTCCTACAGTAATATTTCCCAAATGTGTAATTTGTTTCTTGAAATTTTAAGTCCCAACTTTCCAAACAAGGCGTATTTGTTCTTGGGGTTTAGATCATTTGTTAATACTTCCCTCAATTGCAATCTTTAAATGATAACATAATGTCTTTGTAAAATATGTGTCATTGTTGAGTAATTGCACTAAGATAATAATAATTTTCTCAATGCCACACATTTCCACTTGTTTATTCATGTCTGCTTAAATGTAATCGTGCTAAAATTCATTTACATCAGTGGTTCTAAAGTTTTTGTGGCGCCCACACAGATACACACTCTTCAGTTTATGAAATAGATTAATACTGATATTACAGCTGAGTACCTGGGGCCCCATCTCAGGAACAGTCAGAAAGCCAGTGAAAACCCCACTAAAACTGTTGAGCATGACGATGCTCAACAGCGTGCCCCACACCATCATGTGCCTGGGCCGACGACTGGAGAAAGAGCCACTGAGAAAGATCTGGGCAGTCTCTAGAACGGCTTGGCTGCAAGTCGCTTGCAGGACGAACCTGCAACAAGAAGTTCTTGGAGCATGTCATGCTCAACAGCTTGCCCCACACATCACGTGCCTGGGCCGCCGGCTGGAGGAAGACCCACTGAGAAAAATCTGTGCGGTGCTTGCCTGAAGGCAAGATGCTTGCAGGACGAACCTGCAACAAGATAGTACTAGAAGCGTCGAGTATTGGCTGAGATATCTCAGGGCAACAACTGCTGACATCGCAGTGTATCTTACCGAGAGGTTCCAGAATTTGTAATTTTGTGGGTGGTGGATTTTTGGCACTAGTTTTATACCTACCCATCCATATTGGTCATCCCTCTTCTTGTGGAGTACAAAATTTCAATTTTTTGATCGTTACATACATACTTACAAGGTGCTAACCATCTTCATTATTCTTCGTTGCATAAACTTCCTTTGTGGTTAAATTATTAGAAAGATGTGTAGCAGTTTTTATATGGCAAGTTGGCTTCGCGTCATCTGCTTCCACCAGTCGCCGGAAATAATAACTTTCCTCATCAAATAAGAATATTTACGTTGTTGCTTGTAATTGCCTCAATGCAAAGCTCAATACACACTGCATTACGTGGATCGAGAGGATTGTGGTTACGAGGGAAATATGCACTCAATCTACGGATAATGGTTCTGGGAACCAACTTCGCCCATGAAAGAGGATGTCAAGGTACATGCGATCTTGCGAGTAGCAGAATAAATTTATATACGAAAGAAAACAGTATGAGCGTTTTAGAGTAATGTGACAGTTATTACAGCTTCAACGATTACGTACATTTCAGGCAACGTAAAAAGAAATATAATTACATAATGAGTAAGTAAATTCTATGCATTTTCTTATCCAAACAATGCGTTAGAATAATATCATTACTTGGTTCTGAAACACTTTTGCTTTTAAAATTGCCTGACGCAATTGCTGTTACCGAGCATCACACGATCGGCTGGAGATAGAAAAATTGTATCCCCCAAAGCGCCAGCTAACTTCCAAAGAGAAACGAGATTCATTGATTTTATGAAACTCTTTGCAACACACTTCTGAACTGCTTTCAAAAATGCCCGAGAGATCGCGCCTGCTCCTGGGAGCCGGTATGACACATTGTCGGCAGGTTTTAGATTTAGATTTATTAAGTCAAAAAAAAAACAGTAAAAAATGTATGTGACGTATGGAGGAGACAATTATCTGCGTACGTTTTCTTGAGCTCCAGAATCCCTTGCCGTCATTTTGTCTATCAATAGTTGAAAGTTGAGTAAAATTTTAAAATAAATAAGAGGTTCAGTTTGCCAGAATCAAACGCTTTTCCATTTACGATGCGACGGGATCCCATTGTTTGAGAATCTGCAGCCCAGTAGTTTCGTGGCGATCCGCCTCGCTCGTGTAAAGAAGCTAAGTAATACGCGTATTGGCTGCATTGAAGGTTGGATTTCTACGTTGGTAAGCCTTCCTAGCATGGAAGTTCATTCGCCGTGCACCAGCGACTTAGAGCGTTACAAATTACGAATGGAATTCTTAAGAAGAACGCTTATTTTCGCCCACAGAAAGGTAACACTGACAATTTCGTCAGTACTTAATTATCCTAACGCCAAGATGCTAACTAGCCTCGTGGCGAGCTCTGGGTCAGCGTGCAGGCTTTGCATGGCCCCGGGCTCGATTCCCGGCCAGACAACATTACAGTGTGCATTTTCCTTGCAATTTCCCGATATATGATGCTGTGTGACGAGAAAATTAATTTCTCAGGTTGAGAAGACCGGCGTGGAGATGTCTACGTGCTAACCACACGTACCCGCTTAAACCATGGCCGTGAGGCAAGGACGTCGACGGTACGCCTGAGCCCGTTCACGGGCTGTCTCGCCAAATACATACATACATACATACATACATACATACATACATACATACATACATACATACATACAT